GAGATAATAACATTGATACATACCTTAAAGACGAAACCAAAGTTCCTGGCAGCACCGACCAAAGCTCCCTCGTCAGGTGACTGGGCCTGATACTCAAGGACACCTGTTAACAAGCAAACACCAACAGGTGAGATTATAGATACCTACGTACCTAGTGAGTTGAGAAAATATATAAATACCTCTCACTGTAACTTCATTTGGAATTCGATTCATAAATACAGCGTAATATACTTTAAAAGATTGATTTTGTTTTTAATTACATACTTCCAAAAAAGCAGTAACATTACAGCATATTTTTTTCACCAGAATTATGTTCTACTTCTTAAGCACACTGCATATTGACAAAAAACAAAGAACAATTCATGAAAATATACAAGATAAATGCATTTCTCATTTATTGTGAAAATATTCACTTGACAAGAACGACAATCTCTAGTAAGAGCTTTTCAGGTAAAAACAAGGCAAAGTATTGCAAAATAATCCAGTCACCTCGCTTTTATACAAAGTTTGGTTTCAAAAATTAACAAAAGGCTATAACTCTGCATGGGTGTGGAGAAGGGACTTGAATCAAATATGGACCACTGCACCACCCTAAGGGGGGTTATCTATGACTGCCAACATATCTAACAGCAATAGGCAAGTGTTGCTTTATAAAACAACGTCAAGTCAATTATCGACTGTTTCATAAAGCTGCATTTTGACCAGAATATTTACCTCAGATTTACCTGTGTTTCATGCAACACACTTTCTTAGAACAATTTGGCTACATTTGGTCAAAATCAACAACTAATAGCTCATGTTTACCATTTTTTTAACATGCAAAAGTGCCTACTTATATTTTGAAGAGAAAAACATGAAATTAATTGCGATGAAATATTCCAGATATCATTTAAGGTGCGTACAAAACTGAGCAATTATGGAAGGTGACAAAGTATGGGAAATGTTTTGGACAAAGTGATGCACAACCAGCTGACTAAGGGACAGATAGAGAGCAAACCTCTAGTTTGGTCAGGTAGTACCAAACCTCTGGTTTGGTCAGGTAGTACCAATGGAAGACTGATTATCAAAACGTTAAATGCTGAAATTGTCATAATACTTACCATCATTCATCTCCGGCATAACAGTGTGGCAAAGAGCCAGGATGTAGAAAAACCTATGTGCAAGGGTGTTTCCATCGTGGATAGCTGTCAAAAGCTGAGAGTCGTAGAAATCAAAACTTGTCTCGAAGTAAGGATTGTCGGAAAAATTCACTTTTGGCGTATGCTGAAAATGAAAGGTTTAGATGGCAAGATCAATACAGATGGAAAAGGTGACTTCAGTATCATTTATGATTCCTGATTTATCCATTAAACGATTTAAACAAGAGGCCCAATGGGCCTGCATCGCTCACCTGGT